AATTTGGGTGGATGCACAGGGTGTAGGTGTAATTTTTCTGTCCGCAGCCAGGTCCCAAATGACCACACAGACACTCTTTATGAATTAGAAATGCTCGGCTGGTAGCTCAGGCTTGTTACTAACTGGCTCTTACGACTTTAAATTAACCCATATTTCTTATCTACCACGAGGCTCAGTACCTCTCCTCAACACGGCGTGTTCATTTTGTCATCTCCTTCCCGAGTCTGCTGGCGACTCCGCCCTTCTTCATCCCAGAGCTCTCTCCCTGCCTAGCTGTGGGCCATTTAGCTTTTTATTAAACCAATGAGAGCAACACATCTTCACAGTGTACAAAAAGACTATTCCACAACATATTCCTGTCGGCGGATGCAGATTTGGAGGCCAGAGGACATCAGGTGACCTGCTCTGTCACCCACCGTCTTACTTCTTTGAGACAGAGTCTCTCACTGAAGGGTGGAGCTAGGCTGGTGGCCGCAAGGGATCTTCCGGTCTCTGGGAGGAATATAGACACGCCCAGCTTTTTTTTTTTTTAACTTTTATTCTCTCATATATTACATCCTGACTGCATTTTCCTCCCCCCCTCCTCCCAGTCCCTCCCACACCTCTCTTCCCCTCCAGATCAACTCTTTGTCGGTTTCCCTCTTTTTAAAGAAAGAAAAGAAACAAAGAGCAGACTTCTCAGGGATATCAACCAAACACAGACTTACAGTAAGACTAGACACAAACCTTCATATCACGGCTGGACAGACTAGGCAACCCAATAGGAGGAGACGTGCCCCAAGTGCTGGCAAGAGTCAGAGACGCAGCTGGGTGGTCGTGGCGCCTGCCTTTAATCCCAGCAGGCGGATCTCTGTGAGTTCGAGGCCAGCCTGGTCTACTGAGTGAGTTCCAGGACAGACTCCAAAGCTACAGAGAAACCCTGTTTCGAAAAAACAAAGAAATCTCAGAGATGCCCCCACTCTCATTGTTGACTGCTTTGGCTCCTACAGTCCTCCCTCGCCCTCTTCATCTGGGTTCCCCTGGCTCCCTTAGTCTTAGGCTCTGGGCCTTCGCATCTGCTCCTGTAGGCTGCTGGATGAGGCCTCTCTGCTAACCGTTGCGTGCCCAGCTTTTTAATGTGGGTGCTGGCAATCCAAACTCAGGTCCTCATGTTTGCACAGCCAGCGCTCTCACCTGCTGAGCCCTGATCTTGTGTCATGCATGAAAACAGAAACCACCTACTGTGTGCGGCAGGTGGCCCCACACTTGAGGTGCTGTGGGAGGAAGATGGAGAGCCACAGGGCTGCGAGTATAGCTTCCCAACACTGTGATGAAACAGCCACCGAAACCAGCTCGGAAGGAAGGGGTTGGTTCGGTTTCCACTTCCACATCCCAGGTCCACCATCCTGAGAAGTCAGAGCAGGAACTGAAGCAGAGGCCACGGAGGAATACTGTTTTCTGAGTTGCTCCTCATGGCTCGCTCAGCTTGCTTTTCTATACAGCCCAGGTCACCTGCCCAAGGGTGGCACCATCAAGACGGGCAGGGCTCCCACATTAATCAGTCATCAAAAAAAAAAAAAAAAAAAGAAAAAAAAAAAAAAAAAAAAAAAGAAAGAAAAAGAAAAAGAAAGAAATGTTCCACAATCTGGTAGAAGCATTTTCTCAGTCTTTCCAAATGACTCCAGTGTGTGTCCAGTTGACAAAAACACTGACCAGCACAAGAGAGCACACCTAGAATTCTACAGTAAAAGGTTGGGGCCTTAGCTCACCAGTCGAGAGCTTGTCTAGTTCAACAGTGAGGGGCTGGGGTGTGGCTCCCCCAGGAGAGTTTGGGTGAGAGGGGCAAAGTATTGCATTCTCTCTCCAGGCTCTGCATAGGGAGGAGGAAGGGGGTGGGGGGCCTGTAGGCCAAGTGGGGTACATAGTGAGACAGTTAAAAAGACGGGAGGAGAGCGACCCCAGAGATGGCTCTTTTCTGTCCCACAGATGGAGAAAGCCAAGCGCCGAGAGGTAAGCCCATTACCCAGGGTCACCCTTAAGACATTCCCCTTTGCCCACAGAGGATTCATTTCAAGACTTCAAGACACAGCCCCCACCCCACCCACCACCAGGGCTGCCACGGGTGCCTCAGACTGGCTAGTACCCAGTCCTGTATTTTCCACTGTACACTCACCTATAAGGGGCCATTGCTAGGCACAATAAGAGGTTTACTGTGTGGGCAGGGTGTGGTGGCACACCTCTGTCACACCCAGCACTGGGGAAGTGGAAGCAAGACCATCAGGAGTGGAGAGCCAGCCTGGGCTACATAGAAAGAGACTCTAAGGCCAGTCTGGACTACATGAAACCCTGAGTCAAACACAAGAAAGGCTAAAACAAAACATAATTTGTCTTTGTTTTTGTTTTTTTGAAAAGGGTTTCTCCGTGTTACGGTTCTGGCTGTCCTGGAGCTCACTCTGTAGGCGGGGCTGGCCTCAAACTCACAGAGATCCGCCTGCCTCTACTTCCCAAGTGCTAGGGTCAAAGGCGTGTGCCACCACTGCCTGACAATTTATTTATTTATTTGATGTGCATTCATGTTTTGTCTCCTTGTATGTTCATGTGAGGGCATCAGATCCTCTGGAACTGGAGTTACAGACAGTCGTGAGCTGCCATGTGGGTGCTGGGAATTGAACCCGGGTCCCCTGGAAGAGCAGCCAGTGCTCTTAACCACTGAGCCATCTCTCCAGCATATATATATATATGCTGAAACCTTTCATGTAATATTTTTGAACCATGCCTACACAGATGAGGGGAGCTAAGGTGGGGGGGGTCTCTGAGGAGTAGGCAGAGTCTGAACCCTGCATTCACCCATCTGTCTTCTGCTCATTGTTGCTACCACTGACCATGGCCATCCAGGGATGTGCCCTCCTTGTGAAATTATTCAACGGCTGCCCCCTCCAGATCCACAGCACAGCTGCCTGGACACATCCCTCTACTAAAGGTAGGCATTCAGGAGGTCCACAAGAGCCTGGTGGAGGGGCCAGGTAGGGATGATGGGGGCCCCTAGCCCAGGTGTCTGCAGAGTCCAGGAGTGTGTGAGAGCCCCTAGCCCAGGTGTCTGCAGAGTCCAAGAGAGCATGTGAGAGCCCCTAGCCCAGGTGTCTGCAGAGTCCAGAGAGTGTGTAAGAGCCCCTAGCCCAGGTGTCTGCAGAGTCCAGAGAGTGTGTAAGAGCCCCTAGCCCAGGTGTCTGCAGAGTCCAGAGAGTGTGTAAGAGCCCCTAGCCCAGGTGTCTGCAGAGTCCAGGAGTGTGTGGGAGCCCCTAGCCCAGGTGTCTACAGAGTCCAGGAGAGTGTGTAAGAGCCCCTAGCCCAGGTGTCTGCAGAGTCCAGCAGAGTGTGTAAGAGCCCCTGAAGCTGCAGTTGGAGGTGGTTGTGAGCCTCCAGGCATGGGTGCTGGGAGCCAATCAAACTCAGGCCCTTAGTGAGTGGCAGATGCTTACTTAGCCTGGGAAAGAGGGTCTTAATGGAGAAATGTTGGTGGAGCCAAATCTGGGGCAGATGCTGTGGTTACCGTGTGATCTGAAGGGGACGAGACAGGGTGACATCAAAGGAGAACACTAGAGAAGGTGGAGCTTAGAGGCCAGAGGTCTCTGAATAAGACAGTGTAGAGTCGGTAGATGATGGAGGTGTTGAAGGGTCACCTCCTTGTTGATGGCGGAGACTGGGATCAGCTTTGGGGGGGCACAGGTTTGACTCCAGCAGAAGGGGGCAGAATCTGGAAATCACAGATGGGGGATAAGATTGGAATAGAGGTGTGCACCTTTAATCCCAGCACTCCTGAGGCTGAGGCAGGAGGCCAGCCAGGGCTATATAGCAAGAGGCTTCTTAAAAACAAGCAAACAACCGGGCATTGGTGGCGTACACCTTTAATCCCAGTGCTCGGGAGGCAGAGGCAAGTGGATCTCTGTGAGTTGGAGACCAGCCTGGTCTCCAGAGCGAATGCCAGGACAGGCTCCAAAGCTACACAGAGAAACCCTGTCTCGAAAAACCAAAAAAACCCAAACAAACAGCCAGCATAGTGGTGCAGATCACACTGATAACCCCAGCTCTTAGGAGGTAGAAGCAGAAGGATCTCGAGTTCAGGGTCAACTTTGGTTTCATAGGGAGGTCAAGGACCAGGGGAATACTTCTGACCAGGTCTCTTAAGACAAGAGACAGGCTTGGGAGATGGCTCAGCAGCGGTTGAGAGCATCAGCTGCTTTTTCAGAGGACCCAGGTTCAGTTCCCAGCTCCCACATGTTGGCTCATAGTGTTCTTAACTCCAGTTCCAGGGGACCACACCCTCTTCTGGCCTCTGAGGGTACTGCATACACACAGTACACAGACACACATGTAGATAAACACTCATACACATAAGATAAAAACACGCTTTTGTTTTTGTTTTTAATGAGAGACACAGGCACCAGGGCTGAACAGATAGGAAAGACCACATTGGGGCCCAGAGTCAAAGCACAAACAGGCTTAGCAGTTGGAGCTGAGTACTGGGGAAGCAGGGGTGCAGCCGAGGAAGCAAATGTGTGGTGTACAGCTGGTGTGAAAAGTAGAGTTGGAGGATCAGGGGCAAAGAACTGCCAGGCATTGCGAGTCACAGAGAAGGGTCATGGGGTTTGCCTTCAGACTTGAGAGAGACAAGCTGGGGGTGTCAGTCTGCAGAGAGAATTAGTATGAGGGGGTGGGGTGGGGTGGGCAGAGGGCCAGTTTGGAACAAAGACTGGGAGGTCCTTACCCCACAATGAGAGACAGCAGCAACCGCCTTGTCTGGCCCACTCAGACCAACATCTGCTCCTGGGTGCCGAGGAAGGCATTTTCATACTGAACCGGAATGATCAGGACGCCACGCTGGAGATGGTGAGGGATGGAGGCAGTCCTGGGGGTGCGGGCAGGGCGTGTAATGTTGAATGGGAGTTACAGACGTCACCCCAAATATCTGCAGCTCTTCCCTGG